GAGAGAAGTTTAATAACCATATCTATATACGAGTCCATATAAACTTAGTGACCTTTTGTGTTTGGTAAATTTGGACCATGTTGTCCATGATATACCATTATTATAACATAATTATGATGATACATGATTAATGTATATGCGTCGGATAGTGTAGGTTAAGAGAAAACAGATTTATTACAGTAGTCTTTTTAAATTAAGTGATACCATTGCAAAACTATTTTAGATACAAATTTATGCATGTTATATCAGTCTATACCCAAATATCTTATTTCAAGTCAATGAAGTTTAACACTAGATGTTTTAATGTATTTTCCTATACAAGTCTGTGAACCCAGGTGGCTCTATGAGCATGATTCATTAAATGTGTTAATAAAGACCCAAGGCGGTGCTACATGCCAGCTTAGTACCTGTGCTCTATGCATTTTGATTTTTGAGAAGATTTTTTTTATTGTATGTACACTTAATGATACAAAAGTGTTTTATGTAACTTTTAAAGAGGTCTTCTTTACTTGGCAAGGTTATATTTTGACTATCTAAGCTCTAGGCATTACAGTTTGTTTGTTTGTTGATTTTTTTAATGACATCAACAACAAAACAACTTCAATGCGATTCCCTACACAAGTCTTTAAAAACTGTGTTCCTCGTGAGGGCCTTTAAATCATGTTCCTGCAGTCCAAAATGACTTTCCCTGTCACTTAGTTTACATTGACTTATATATTAAAATTCTTCTCCGAAACTATGTGCACAGAGAAGAGAAAATATTGTATATCATAACATTGTGATGCTATATATAAAGATTATGAACTATTGGCATAGGGTCAAAATCACTTAGTTTACATCGACTCTTATTGGAATATCGTTATACGAGTCTTCTTGTAGTTCTGAGAGCCTAGTTATTGGACATGATTCTTTAAATCATGACTGGTGAAAAAAGATACTCCTTACATGATTTTAGCATTCTTCAGTATAATAGAATTATAGACCTTTTCCAGCAGTGGGTCTTAGGCGCGTGATCTAGGGTCAACAATGCTCTCTTGTTTTATGGGAAAAATAAAGTAGGAATACATTTAGTATATATTCCAAAGTATAAGCTATGTTTGTTATGTGGGTCCAGCGGTTTTGTTGATACCTATTTTATCACACCTAGTCATTAGATAATATGATGTATCAGTCGCCTAAATTTTTGTTTCTTTTGAAAATATCATGTCTACATAAGTTATTAGAAATGGACGGTACTTATTCAATTATACTTGGTTGCAAGGATGTGCAAGTAAATATAACTTTGAATCATTCTGTTACAAGCTTTTAGCAAGACTAAATTGTGCAAGAAATAATTGTATTCATAAATAGACAACATTTCACTAAGGTCCAGGCATGATTTTATCTAACATATGGTTCGTTGATGAATATTCAGTCTTCTTTCTGTACAATTATCAAGTTATATTATGGCTATTGAAACAACTTATATCATGCAAACACATTTTAATAACTGAATGTATACATATGATTGTATCAGCATTTATTGATATTTTAGTACACCCTCTAGATCTGAAGGAAAACAAAAATACCTTAATACAATAAAATACTTTTACAGTGAATATTTGCATAAGAATTCTTAAAAAACGTTATTTTGTACTACAATTGTCTGATAAATTTACCCCACCCACTTTTAATAAGTTTAAAACCTTCAGATTTGTGTTTGTTTTTGTAACAATTATACAATAATACATAGTGTTGATTGAATATCAAATACACTTTAAGAAACCATGTAACTTTTGGAATTTTGTACATAGACCTAGAAAACCATGTTAGAGAAAAATGAAAAAAATGGCACTTTTTCTTTGATTTTTTAAAGATTTTTTTTGTACAAAAAACTAAAAACATGACTAACAATGTGGTTAACCTAAAATTTGATTTTTTTCTAATATATTTCACAATTTTATATGGAAATACGCATACCATGTGCAAAGAAATATACTACAAAAGAGAAATATCAGTTTTCATTAAAATTGGCAGCCATATCGGACGCCATCTAGGATTCTGAAGAAATATGCAAGAGAAACTGCTAAAAGATTTAAATTTTTGAAAAGGGAAAACTATATGCATGATTTTGTGTAAGTTTCAGGTCTGTACAAAAAATTGGAATGAATGATCTATTATGTACATCAAATTTATATGGCGGCCATCTTGAAAATGGCGGCCATCTTGAATAAGCAGAGATATTTTTGGGCCCACCTCACTTTTGAAATCTACATGGTCTAAAGATAATTTCCTGAAAGTTTCATGCTTGTATCACAATTTGCACTATTTTGACAGCAGAAACCTTATTTCCCGCCCCACTATAGTGGCGACATATAGAGATAACTTCTCTGTCATCTGTGTGTTAGGTCCGTCCGTCAATCACAAAACTTGTCCGGACTACTCCACAGAAAGTACTGGTGCAATTGCATTCAAACATGACAGTAATGATTAGTACATGTACCAAATTTTGTTGTGCATATCTCCGGCATTTTACGGTTCAATGATTTTTGTCAGAGTTATGGCTATTTATTGATTTTTTATATTGAAATTGATCCGGACTACTCTTCTTATACCACAAATGCAATTTCAATGAAACTTCACGCTCAAGTCCTTGTGCATTTCACAGGTGTTTCAGGTTTTTGGCCGAGTTATGGCCCTTTTCTGTATTGCCAGCTACACAGAAGCTTGTTCGGAACAGTACCGAGTCTAGTTGTGCGTGTTCAGTAACTTTTGTCGGAGTTATGGCCCTTTTAGGATTTTTTAAGTTTGACCAGTCTACCTCTCTTATACCACTTATGCAATTTCAATGAAACTTAACAGGATTGACTAACGTTAGTAGTTAATACACCTGTTACTATGTAAAGTTATCAAAATGTTATCACATGTAATCACTGATCGCGTTTGTTTGGTACTCTACCAATATATGGGTTATCCATCTGGCAAAAATATTTCGTACTTTCAAAATACGATTCAAGATGAAACGCACGTGCGATAGCGATATGCAAACAACTGCCTTTTTAAAAATTGCGATTAGTGTAAAACTGTATTATAGAGAGCTTAGAATAAATTTTTTTAAACCTATATATTGTCATTGGCCAAACATGTATAAATTTGATAATCTTTTATCATCTAGATCAAAGAAAACATTGTTGGCATTGTCTAAATTTTTGTATTTTGCAAATCAGAAACGTATTTCTTGATCACACATAACCATATAACAATATGGACGACATTTAGCAACTTAGGATGTATGAAAATCTAGAATTGTTTATTTTTCTGGCAAATATTTATACTCTCTGGAAAATTGTTCTGTTTCTCATTGTATGTATATGTTTATTTGTATTTCTATGGCTATAAACATTGTACTATGTTTTATGCTTAATAAAGTTCGTATTCGTATTCGTATTCGTATTAAGGTGAAGTATCGTGATTATTTTTTTACATTTAAATTTGAAAGACTTCACCTAAAATTGTATTTAATGATCAACATTATTTTTTGTCCAATCACATTGTAGTATTTTTCAAATTTCTGCTTTGTCTAACTTTGGTTAATGTGTACTAACTAAATAAAATTCACTTAATCTGTCGTCTAACCGCAGTCTAACAAATTTTAATAATGCATTATATTAGGGAGGAGTTAGAGGTATGGTTTACACTCTGATTTGTAAAATGTCAAGTTTAGCAAAACAATGCCAACATAAAAAAATAGTCGAGGTCAGGTGTTTCTAAATGTGAGGATACAATCAACTGATTTATTACATAGATAATACATGTTGGGCACGCAGAGACAAATGATTGCATATTAACTTTTTTATATCCTTTGAACTCTAAGAAAAAATACTGTTATAAATTGCTGACTGTTTTAAACTTTATATTTTATAGAAAAAGTAACCAAAACATTATTTTCTTTCACTTGATAGGAATAACCTGCATTAACAATCATTGATATCAAGAATACAATGATTACATTTTTTGGCTTGAAAATGGACCCCCTTCACACAGAAAAAAATGAACTGTTTTTCAAATAGGCATTTTAAATGTTAGTGAATAACTTGAAGCTAATAACGAATTTGTATCAATGAATAATCTCTAATGTATTTTTTTCTCACATTTTCCATTTATTTTAAAAGGATGTACACATTTCATTAACTCCATTGTTTTTACCTAATTGCATCGTTTTCCTCGCTGTTTTTTCCAGATATATTATAAACACGATAGTCTTACTGTAGATAAAGGTATAAATTCTGTGACATTTCAGTAAAAAATGTGCCTGCGCCATTTATTTAGCTTTTCTAAATGGGACATGTTAGCAACGTGACAAGGTGTAGACATCTTGTAGAGCGAAAGGGCGGAGCTATAGGTGATTTAGAGAAATGCCTTGTTGTTAGTTGAAAAAAATAATGTTGATCATTAAATAGGTTAATGTTTGATAATATGCATTAACAAAAATAATTGGTCGCCTGCCTGCGGCAGGCTTGACCAATTCTTTTTGTTAATGCATATTATTAAACACTAACCTATACGTATTGGCGGAATTTAGAAGAAAATATTCCGGCAAGACACCAATGAAAATACGGGAAATGAAAATATGCAGTTTATTTCACCAATATTTCTCAATATTTCATTTAAAAGTATATAATAAAATAAAATTAGTTTGATTTGTATCTTAAAGTCATTCAGTATCTGACATATTAAGAGTGACACATTAATTTTAATTTTGACCACTCGCCTTAAAGCGTCACAATCAAATCGTAATATTTCGCTATCCGAATAATTTATGCATTGTGAAATATGGTAGAGGGTAAATTGCGGTAGGACCAATTAATTTAGTGACAATTAACCATAAATGACATATAAAATGTGTTGTTCAACGATGCAAAGCCATTCGCCATCTATATTCATAACGCTGACCAGTGTTTTATTTTACCTTAACACCGGTGACATTATCGATGAAACAGAGATATATCCGAATGGAATGTTCCTCGTGACGTCAGACGCATTTCCAGCCCGCGTGAGAAGACCATAGCAAAAGTTTATAAGAAATAATTTATAAAAAATAAAAATTCTACAAAGCTAAAGAAATCCGTACATTTGAATATTTTTTCACTCTAAATATGATGAACATGGAATTCTACACATTTTGGATTTTTGTACTTGTCGGAATAACAAACGGAAATCATGCGAACAGAGCCAGGGTAAATAACATGATTTTTTTATTTTCAGATGATTTGTTAATGATTATTTAACAGTATATTTTATATTTCCATATGTGTTCACATACAGGCATTGAGAAAAGTAAAATGTATGGTTGTTAATTATTTTTTTCATTTGATTATTCGATGAACGGCTTAAATAAAATACAAACATTCTCGTGCGAACATCAACACATATTGAATGAGTATTTTGTATCTCATTTAGAAAAGGAACAATGCAGCGAATATATCATTTCGAAGTTGGATATTCTTACCGATAATGACAACCAGAAATATTTTCTTTATTTAATCAGTGAATGATATATATCTCACAGTAATTGCAATAAATTTACCGAAACTTTTAATAGCTTCAGTCAAGAACCAGACGAACATTTACTGGATGGATATTTGTGTTTCTCTTAAAAGAAGTGGACAACGACAAAGTTTATTTTATTTTCGCGCACTTTCCATGAAAATTAAAAGGCTCTAAAACTCTCCATGTCCAGCCTACACGATAATCTAAAGGGAACACAACACATGTTACCATTTAGACGTCAAAACAATGTGTCGTTTAATATATATGACAACAACGAACTTATCAAACAAATTAAACATTAATGTTGTGTTTCACGAAGAACTTACATAACTTTTGGTGTAACAAACTATACTTTTATTTAACGCTTTTAATTTAATATTACAAAGCAACCACACGGAGACGTCTTTTCAAAAATGGCGAGCACGTGATACTTGTTGGCTTTCGAAGTTTCTCGGCAATTAATAAAAAATCTTACATTTATTGTAGTTTCATGTAAAAATCTTATATTTATTTCCTTTCATATAAACTTATATTAAGCTATTTATGAATTACGCGCTAAATCAAATGATTAGGCAAAATATAATAGAAAAAAACAAATGTATACATAATACTTCACGAGTAGGATCCCATGTAAGGTTCAAATGTTTATTAAAAACAGCTAAGTCAGGTATTCTCTTCGCCTGCTTTTTTGTTGTTGTTGTTGTTGTCATAAATGACCTAACTTTAAAAATCGCCTTTTTCACGTGTTTATGCCAGTTAGATTATGGTATCTACAGCATAGAAAACAATAACGGACTATATTGTGACAATTCTTTGTTATTTATCAATGAAATATTAACACGCATAATCAATATAACTTTAAAATTACAATACAATGAGAAAATGCAGTGTGGTAATACTTATAATAACAAAACAAACACATTGATATTTACACAAAGATGTTCACACAAAGATAATTTTGTGCAGCATTAATATTTGAGGGTTGTTTCTTTTTGACAATGTTAAAAAGAGTAATGTATATTATAATTTGTCGATGGTGACATAGAAAAATAGAATCTTGTAGATAATGGAACATCTGTTATAATAAAACGTTTGGTAATTAACTCCAAGTATTCAAAATCTAACTTTTTGTCTGTCATTTAGTTATCGATTAACTGAACAACTATAACGATTTCTCTTAATCGATCTTAAAGTGAATCTTACCTGGTAGAGAATCTTACCTGGTAGAGATATTAGTCAGTGATTGACCTATTTGTTTTGACATATTAATGTGATTGCTGATTCATTAAACGAAATGAGAAAGTTGTCTTTATTTCCGTGATGGATATATTGAAGAAATTATTGTTAGTTTTGTACACGATCTTAGGCCATTATTATCCTCTTTTTTCATCTGTCGAATATTTAAATATCTTACATTAAACCAACACCTAGTTTTCAAGCAAGGCCATTCATATCAACCATTATATTATTTAAGTTCACTGTAAGTAATTTTAACCACAGACAGACATTTTAACCCATAAGCCATCGCTTCTTTATTTTGTTTATTTGCAGTCATTTTTTGTTTAAAAAGTTTAAAATTGCGCTAGAATTCGGATTATTATACTAATGATTGGTAGGTTTTTATGTAGCTTTTGTGTCGCAAAAAATTAGTGTAATATGAACTAACTATGACAAAGGGAAAACATAGTAGATCAAAGCAAAATGTACATTTTATTTTGAACATAAATCGTGTTTTTTTTTAATTTTACCTAAAGTTGGGGGTGGAAACAGGAAAAATAATGACAATAAAGCTTTAACACTATGGCCTGCTACGGGGTAAATGTTGACCAACAGATGCACTTTTGCAGTGTCAAAAATGTAATATCACAGTTGTAACGTAGTTTGGTTTATGTTAAGTTTTATGACAGTTTTTATGTTAGTTTTTGACAATAATGTTGAAATGTTAAAGCGTAGGAGTAGATAGGTACGGTAACATATTAACTTTGGTTATACTAGGAAATAAGGATTTATGAATCTTTTGATCTTACAATCATTTTTTTTAGTTTACATAAAAATCTAAATAGTAAAGCGAGAAGATACAATATAGTAATTTCAATATATGAAAAAGTAAAGGACCTGTAATTGATCGTCTATATCATGTAGTTATCATCTTTTACTACGTCAATATTTATATAATTATATTGAGTTGTTTTAATAGTACGACTGTTTGTTTCTTTCTTGATAAAAGTCACAACAAAGTGTCCAAATTGAAAGAAAAAGTTTTTGTACATTTCCGAAGAAGCGGATTGCGGAAGACGGACAAAACCCCACCAGTTAAAACCCCACCACTCAAAATTTTATAGAGTGGACAAAACCCCACCACTAAATTTTATAGAGTGGACAAAACCCCACCACTAAATTTTACAGAGTGGACAAAACCCCACCACTTCACATCCAAATCCCTAAAGAACAAAACATAATAATTATAGCATATAGCATTTATTTCAGCAATATAATACAATGAATGGGATTATACAAACAATTTACAAACTGTTAAATCAACATCAAAGAGTAGTCATTTATTTGAGACTGTGCCACATTTATGACCTTGAATTATTCATTATTATTAGTTTCTTCAAATTCATTACTTCAATCTATTTATATAAAATATAAACTACTTACTATTAATCAAGAATATAGCACATTTTCATTAATTAATGATTAAAAATATCCCATTTTGTATAGCACATTTCTAGTTTATTCAGTTGAGTCTACTTTACTTCATTGTACTTAGTTTAAGCGGATACAGTGGCCGATAGCCTGACGAAACTCAGGTACAGTCTTCTCCTTATTGATGAGTTGTTCACACATTCTTCAGAGTTTCTGCTGATGCACAATTGTTTGTTTTTTAAAATGTTTTTAAGAAAGTTTTGTCCACTCTATAAAACTGAAGTGGTGGGGTTTTGTCCACTCTGTAAAATTTAGTGGTGGGGTTTTGTCCACTCTATAAAATTTAGTGGTGGGGATTTGTCCACTCTATAAAATTTTGAGTGGTGGGGTTTTAACTGGTGGGGTTTTGTCCTACATTCGCGGATTGCACATGTGCGCAATCATTACGAAACATTTATAAAATAGAAATAGAATACACTCTGACATTCTGTAACATTTTAAAATCTAGATTTTTAAAACCCATTCAAAAAAAATTTAAAAATAAATGTGAATGTTTGCCTTTAAGAAACAAAACCAATAATTGAAAAAAGAAAAAATTTGCTTGCGTTTTAAAAAAACAAACAATAAAGTTAAAAAAAAATTTGCTTTTAAAAACCCAAAAAAAAAATGAATGAAATGAAAAATTAAACAAATTTAACGAAAAAAAAGGGCACAAACAAACCCAACAAGAAAAAAAGAAGAATGAAACATGAAAATGAAAAATGAAAAGATAAAATTAAATAAAATAAATTTAAAAAAAAATTAAAAAAAAAAAAAAAATTTAAAATAAATAAATGAAAATAAATAAATAAATAAATAAAAAGGAATGAAAAACCCAAGGAAAGAAAAATATTAAATAAAAAACTGATCGATATGTTTTCCGGAAAGCGATTTTTTTAAATTTCACCTCATATTTTTTTCAAAAATTTTAATTTCCCTATAGATTACCAATTCACATTTGTGGTTTTTTCTGTGATTCCGGGTTTTTTTATACTTGAAACATTAAAATGGAAAAATAGGGACACAAAAACTAAATTTTTTAAAATCATTTTTTAAACCTTCGTAAAGATGGTGGGGCCGACCCATTCAATGTGAACCCTGGCCTTTAAAATTTTGTTTCTTTCTCTTTTTAAAAATTTCCCTTTTTATCTTGGAAAGGATAAAAGAATGGTATTTTTTAAAATTTTTTCATTGAAAGAAAATAAAAGACCCCCTTGAAAAAATTTTTATAAATTTTAATAAATTTTTTCCCATCTGTTTATGGATTTCAACAGAGAAATTTTTAAGAAAGAAAGAAAAAAAAAAAAAAAAGGAAAGAAAATAAAAATTTTTAAAATTTTTGCTTTCTTAAAAAGTCATTTTTTTGAATTTTTAATTTGAACATTTGATGGCCCTAGATATTCAAATTTTTTTGTTTTTAAGTGGCAGTTTAATATTTCACTTACTGCCATCGGGGCAATGTTTTCCCCTTTTCAAGTTTAAAATCCATACCTAAAAGGGTTACCTTTCTTTGATTTCCTTAATAGAATGACTCCCCAAAAAAAATCCCTTAAAAAAATTTGGTTTTTTAACTAGAAAAATATACATAAAATAACTTTGTAATTTTAATTACTACTTTAAAAATTACTCAAGGGGATTTTCCCCACTTTTAAATTTTGGAAAAAAACCAATTTTAATTTTTAAAACCGTTATATCCAGTAACGCGGGGAATGGGGAAAAATAACTTTAAAAGAAAACGCCCAATCTGTCCAACGAAATTGCCAAAACGAATAAAAAGGTTAATAAACCCAAAAATTTTTTAAAAATTTTTTAATTTAAAATTTTAAAAAAATGAATTACCCGCAAACGGTTTGCTATGACTTTTATACTTTAAGGGGCAAATTTTTTGGGGGAATATGTAACATTTGTCAAATTTCAAGTGTCGTATAACAATAAAAGGAAGTTTGGAAAATAAGATTACCCTACTTTTAATGAAAATAACGCCTTTTGCTTTAAAGTTTTCCATTCACAAACCGGCTTTTACCTCCCTTTTAAAAAAAGCCTAATTAGGTTTTTATCTCAAAATTTAAATTTATAATATAACAGAAAAAGGGGAAAATTTGGAAAAATGTTTTGGGACCCCAATGAAAAAAATCTTTAAAGAAAATATGTTTGTTATTGAAATTTAAAAAAACCCAAACAAAACCCAAAAAAATCGCCATCAGAACAGGTCTTCTTTTTTCCACGATTGATCTAGAAAAAAAAAAACTTTTTAAAAAGGGAAAAAACATTTTTGATGACTTTTAAAAGTATAATGTATCGGGAAAACCGTATGCGCTAATTCTTTTTCTGGCAAAGTGTACTGATGGCAAATTTTTGGTTTCGTTTTTTTAAAATAAATTTTTTAAATAAAAAATTTTTTTGGGGGGTTTTTGCGGTCTCGTTTGAACCCCCCTAAATTGCCCCCAATTCGCATTCCCCCTTTGCCCAATTCCTCCTTTATTTGCACATTTTTTCGTTATGGATATTTTTAAGGGAATGGTTTCTGTATGGACTGCCCGGATGGGCAAAAGTGCAGCCCCAAAACGCCCATTTGCGACAGACGACCAGTGCAGACAGAGGGAGATGTCGACTGGTGCGGACTGCACGATCGTTTTGTCAGTACATGTGGGCCCAAAAGGGTTTTAATTTTTAGTTTTTAAAAATTTTGGTTAAAAGGGGAAATTTTAAGTGCAATGGTCAATTAATGAAAGCTGTATGATAGAAAAAATTTAAACCAAAACATGAGCTGAAAATTCATGAGGGGCTTAATGATATATTCATGAAATTTTATTTTTTAATTTTCCCAGGGGAAAAAACCCCATATTTGTCTTAATGTTATAAATTTTTCAAGTTTGATAGTTTTTTTAAAATAACCTTAAAAGGGTTTTAATACCCAGCCCATTTGTAACCTCCCCCTCTTATTTTAGGGGGAAATTTATGACTGATGTATCTAACGTGAAGTTTTGATAATTAAAAAAAAATAATATGGGGAAATTTTTACACTTTAAAAATTTTACTTGGAAAAATTTGCTTTTTAACATCTCAGAACAAAAATTTTATCTCGTTATTTTAATTCTTTTTTTTTAAATTTTCCCAGACACAAAAACTTTTATTAAAAAATTTGGTTTTCAGTTTTTAAAATTTTTTCTTCTATTTTTTTAAACTTATAAAAATTTTGGGCCCAGAAAAAAGAAATTGTTAGATTTAAAAATAAAAGTAATTAATTACTTTTTACAAAAATTGGCCCAATTTTTTTCTAAAAACACCAACTTAAAAAAAGGGTATAAATTAATATACGTGCCAAAAGGGACTACCGGGTAAATAAAAAACCTTTTCTGTCTTTTTTTAAGGTTCTTTTGAAAAATCCCGGAAACAACTAACGTGTTAAACTAGACATTTTTAAGGGGCGCCCGAGGCCAATAAAACTTTATGTGCATACCCCTTAAATTTTAAACTGACCCAAAAAAATCACCTAAAATAATATGTACTTTGTTTATTAAATTTGAGGGAACCTTTAAAATTTCGGGCTGATCTATTGTCCAATTTTTTTAAATAAACAAAAAATTTTATTTTTTAAAATTTACGAAATGACAGGTTTATGATAATAATTCAAGCAAAATAAATAAATGACTTAATGATGATGAACGAATGGAAGTATAATCAATTTATGAAATGTCACATATAATGTACATGGAATTAGTTTATATCATCACATACGTGCAATAATTGATCAACTCCTATTAAATTTAGAAGGCCTTAACCCGTTACTGCACTAACGTGACGATATATATTGGCAGACATTGAAAAAATTAACAAGAACAACAAAGAAACAACAACAGAAAATATCAACAAACAAACCAATTATTCTATATTCAGCTCGTTATATGTTGGAAAATTTTGTAATCAAAATAGTTAACCATTTTCTGTAATACATGTTTATGAGAAATATTAAACAAATTGATAATTGGACTTTCTAATGTCTATTTACATAAGATTTCACATTTATATCTCTTAAAAAATCAAGCGTTCTTAGTTGTTTATTACCACAAGTTACTCTATAAAATGTTATATCTTTTTTATAACTGTAAAGCATTACCTCAAGTTACTCTATAAAATGTTATATCTTTTTTATAACTGTAAAGCATTACCTCAAGTTACTCTATAAAATGTTATATCTTTTTTATAACTGTAAAGCCCCATTACCGTCAGTTACTCTATAAAATGTTAATATCTTTTTTATAACTGTAAGAGCATTACCTCAGAAGTCTCTATAAAAAATGTTATATCTTTTTTATAACTGTAGGCATTACCTCCAGTTACTGCTATCAAAATGTTATATCTTTTTTATAACTGTAAAGCATAACGCTCAAGTTTACTCTATAAAATGTTATATCTTTTTTTTATAACTGTAAAGCATAACCTCCAGCTTACTCTATAAATGTTATAATCTTTTTTTTATAACTGTAGAGCATTACCACAAGTTACTCTATAAAATGTTAAATCTATTTATAACTGTAAAGCATAAACTCCAGTTACTCTATAAAATGTTATATTTTTTTTATAACTGTAAAGCATAAACTCCAGTTACTCTACAAAATGTTAAATCATTTTTTATAACTGTAAAGCATTAACTCAAGTTACTCTATAAAATGTTATATCTTTTTATAACTGTAAAGCATAAACTCCAGTTACTCTACAAAATGTTAAATCATTTTTATAACTGTAAAGCATATACTCCAGTTACTCTACAAAATGCTATATCTTTTTTTATAACTGTAAAGCATTAACTCCAGTTACTCTATAAAATGTTATATCTTTTTTATAACTGTAGAGCATTATCCTCAAGTTACTCTATAAAATGTTATATCTTTTTTATAACTGTAAAGCATTACCTCCAAGTTACTCTATAAAATGTTATATCTTTTTTATAACTGTAAAGCATTAACTCCAGTTACTCTATAAAATGTTATATATTTATTATAACTGTAAAGCATAAACTCCAGATACTCTATAAATGTTATATCTTTTTATAACTGTAGAGCATAACATCAAGCTACTCTAAAATGTTATATCTTTTTTATAACTGTAAAGCATTACCTTAAGTTACTCTATAAAATGTTATATCTTTTTTATAACTGTAAAGCATAACCTCCAGTTACTCTATAAAATGTTATATCTTTTTTATAACTGTAAAGCATTACCTCAAGTTACTCTATAAAATGTTATATCTTTTTTATAACTGTAAAGCATAAACTCCAGTTACTCTATAAAATGTTATATCTTTTTTATAACTGTAAAGCATAAACTCCAGTTACTCTATAAAATGTTATATCTTTTTTTATAACTGTAGAGCATTACCACAAGTTACTCTATAAAATGTTATATCTATTTATAACTGTAAAGCATTACCTCCAGTTACTCTATAAAATGTTATATCTTTTTTATAACTGTAGAGCATTACCACAAGTTACTCTATAAACTGTTATATCTTTTTTATAACTGTAAAGCATTACCTCAAGTTACTCTATAAAATGTTATATCTATTTATAACTGTAAAGCATACCTCCAGTTACTCTATAATATGTTATATCTTTTTTATAACTGTAGAGCATTACCACAAGTTACTCTATAAAATGTTATATCTATTTATAACTGTAAAGCATTACCTCAAGTTACTCTATAAAATGTAATATCTATTTATAACTGTAAAGAATTACCTCAAGTTACACTATAAAATGTTGTTTCTTTTTGATAACTGTAGAGCATTACCTCAAGTTACTCTATAAAATGTTATATATATTTATAACTGTAAAGCATTACCTCCAGTTACACTATAAAATGTTATATCTTTTTATATCTGTAGAGCATTATCCTCAAGTTACTCTATAAAATGTTATATCTTTTTTATAACTGTAGAACATTACCACAAGTTTCACTATAAAATGTTATATCTTTTTTATAACTGTAAAGCATTACCTCAAGTTTCACTATAAAATGTTATATATTTTTTATAACTGTAAAGCATAAACTCCAGATACTCTATAAATGTTAGATCTTTTTATAACTGTAGAGCATAACATCAAGCTACTCTAAAATGTTATATCTTTTTGATAACTGTAGAGCATAACCTCCAGTTACTCTAAAATGTTATATCTTTTTGATAACTGTAGAGCATATAAAATGTTATATCTATTTATAACTGTAAAGCATTACCTCCAGTTTCTCTATAAAATGTTATTTCTTTTTTTTTTCAGACGAATGGCATCGGTAGAGTTGGAAACCCTTTGTTTTCGATTGGCCCTTTTGCAGTATCGTCGTTAGGTGGCTTAGGATCGTCGGCAACATCGTCATCGTCATCAGCATCAAGCGGGTCCTCTAGGTCATTAGGTTCAACGCTAGGCGGATCTCGTGGTAACCAAATAGGTAAACAATTATTTTTATCCATTTGATATCTAATAATTTAATTATATTTTATGAATATGTTTTAGATTTCTCTTAAGCTCAAACTGACGATTTTGCTAAACCATAACTAATATACTAGAATTGGATTTGAGCTTCTTCAGTGCTTAGACATGTCATATGTGCAATCGCAACTTTTCGGCCATTTCCGTAAGTTTTCGGATAAGGACCTCGAACACAATAGTTTGAATATGGTATTTCGGTCTAACCTACGCTAAGAAACTTGACATGTTAACAAACAGTAATTTAATGCAGGGAGTTGTTAACAAGTTTATTTTCAATATATCAAGTAAATTCCCACCTAAAATAAGTGAATTCATAGATACAATAGCAAACGAATACATCATTTGTATATTTATTATTATGATTGTAAGAACCAAAAGTACAAAATGGCAGCCTGTTGACATAAGGTCGCATTTGTTTAAAATGTACATTAGTGGGCATATTTAAATCAAAAGTGGTTGCCAGACATATTGTCAGGAAACAGACTTTATTTTTTTTTGGATGTCAAATATATATATATATTCGATTTACATTATCGAAGATACACCCTCTGTTTATGTTTACATCTGAATTCACGTGGTAGAACTACTTTCAATCCGTATTGTTTCCGAGGGTATTATAGATAACAGGCGAGGACGTTGCGATTGGTCATAATATTGTTGTTATTCTATCACATACCCGTGCCGCTTTTGCGTGCATATATTTTGACGTGACGTTATTGTGTCATACACACATAGTGTTACACTACTGGCAAAGTAAATCTTTTTCACAGTAAACAGTTCTTATTTTGGGTAAATGATAAATAGAATATTATATTTGGTTAAATGCAATACCAAATTTATTGAACTCGTTAAATAAAACTATATTGATATTTCTATTCAACTCGTTCAATAAATCTATTATTGTTATTCAACTAGTTCAATAAATCTATTATTGAACTAACACTCATTTAATATCCTCTATTTGGTATTTTAGATGACTATTTTTTTAGATATATAGATATTGATAAATATTTCATGTCATATAACCAATATGCCTTAATAGACTTGTACAGTTGTCCACTACCGTTGGTGCATATATATTTATTTTTATTGACTTTTATTTTTTTATCTATCACTTCGTTTCTATAAATACTTCACAATACCAAATTATTTGTTTGAAACCATTGTAAAGACAACAATAATATGCCTTTTTATGTATCAATTTCAGTTTCTCGGATGATGCCGTCCACGAGAAGGCGCGGGCGTCCAATTTTAGCTCAAGTTCAAGGTCGACCTGTTCTTGTAATAAATAATGGCGGCTCAATAAATCCAAGATCTAGGGTATTTTCCAGGCCAATACAGGTTGCAGGTCGAAATAATCATGTAGTCCAGAATAATGCGTTACTTGAACTGTTAGGAATCGCTCCAAGTTCTGTTGGTTCCAGGAGAACAGTCGGACTTTCACATCAGCCACCAGGTGTTTCATTTATAGGAAACCAAAGGTTATCTGGAAATCATGCACAAATTATATTGCCTCAATCTGTACCAATAGTTTCGAATCATTTGCTACGGAGCCAGACACCAGTTTCACAACTTGGACTTATAGCAGGAAACAAGTTATCATCAGTATTACCAAGTGTAGCAGCTAATCCGTCTCCAAGTACAAATACTATTCCAGGATTAACGGGGCTTACCATAGGCGGTGTCACACCAAAAGGTGAACTTATCATTCAAGGCCCAGGAGGAAGCATTACGATAGGACCAGAGTTACTTACCGGGATTCAAAGAAGAAATGCTTTTCCATTATTTACGGAATTTGAAGAAATGGAACAGGAAGTTGGGATGCGAGGACCAGGAGCAGTTAAAAATAGTGTAATGCTCACAGAGCCAGGACGTGGCAGTATTGTTATAGCTAAAGGACCAAACACCAGTGCCTCTAGCTCAGCTATGGCAGGTGGCGCTGTTGCCTCATCTTCCGCTAGTTCAAGCTCCTCTTCCGCTTCTTCTTCAGCATCGTCATCAAGCAGCAGTGCATCAAGCAGTGCAAGTGCATCTGCATCGTCTGCATCGGCAGGGGGTATTCATGAACCTGCCGTTGCTCTTGGCAACGGAATAACAGTTGAAAGTGGGGGTACATCGGGGAGAGTAATTAGAATCGGTGATAACGGAGCAGCTGAACAAGTAATAACAATGGGGGGAGTGGGAAATGCTGGCAGTGCAACATCAGGACTTCATGTACCCGGAAACGCAACATTTATTGTCGGTGGTTAAAACATTTCACGTTTTATAGTATTTTAAAAGATAATTTTATGCATATTAAACAATATTTATAATATAACTTCAATATTGCACGAAATCGGTGTTATAAATTCTTTTGAAAATATGAAAGGTGTAACTAACAATTGGAGAAGGGAAGTCAATGAAATAGATCTCACCGGCAGAGAGATATAGCTGCGCATACAATGAATGGAGAGTGTTTCAGAACGTATACATTGGACTAGCGTTTTATTTTACGAACAAGACTAAGAGTGATCTCCTGTATTCAAACAAGAAATGAACATTCTAAGAATGCGATTGTGTTTATGGAGCATTGTTAAAAGAATGTGTTGTTACAGATGTAATCATAGTGAGTGTATTTAATATGATCAGTATACACTATACTTATATAGACATTCATACACCAGCTCTTGTTTGCTTGACAATTGTTGTCAAACATTATTAATATGCATAATGTGACAAATGTAACTTTGATAAAAAAACAACATTTTGTTGAATGTTCTTATTTATCTAAATAAGTGGTGTTTATGATGTAATGACTTGGTTTATCTATCAACATAAAATAAAAGCTGAAATACGAACCTAAAGTTGATACAATAAATAGATTTAAAAAAAAACAGTAAAAATTGTATATATGTTGAAAATTCTTTCTCATTGTGTTTTTGTAATTTTTACAATATATATGTTACAACATACTGTACAGGGTTAACATGTAATATATATATGAGCAGATGACGAAGATGTTAACATACTTTCACATGTTTTAGATATTTGCACACACATAGTGCTGTATTTTGGGCATTATCCGCCCATGATTAGCAAACGGCAACAATCGAGGCAATTACAGCTTATCATTATTTTAACAAAATTATTCTGTAATTATGCATGTTGGTACTTGATTGTTTGTCAACGAATGTTAACATATAACTCTAAAAAAATATATTTTTTTTTATTTCAAAATGTTACCGTAATGGTTTTAATATAATGCTATACACGAACATTCAATATGAAATCTTGGTGAAAATTTTATAAAAAAAACCATATTCCACTCTTCCAATTGTTTACATATTTGAATGTTTATTTGATGACTCAACAATACAGTATTACTATCAATTACTTTAGAGTTTAACATCATCAATGATTATAATATTCTAACCATTGATATCTTTTATTTCTAATTTCAAATCTTAGCGTATTGTTCGCATTTATTTTGTGATTTATTTAAACACACTTTTGAAGCACATGATAATACATGCTTTTCATTAAATCATTGTTAATAATTATTTGCTGGATTTTATGATAACTATTATTTTCAAATTGTGTTATGTACATGAAATGTTTCTAAATATCAAATCAAACGAGTTTGCAGTAACATACGCATTTTGATACAATTTTGATAAGTAATTCCAAAGATCTAACTTATATTAATATCATTTAGTATTTCAAAGTATGTCATATACTATCGAAAATAAAGTAAGTGCGTACGTCCATACATATGTCAGAGTATATGTTTTCGTTTCATTCATTGCGAAATGTTAATATTAATTTTGAGCTGCAATCCAATTTTCTTATTTACATTAAAAGAAATCGCCAATATAAAGCTGGACCTTATTATGATATGGAACTGAAAAGTTACAGTAGGATGTTTAATTATACCTAGATTTTAGTCATTAACTTACAATTAGTATAACATCTAGAACATAGTGGAGAAATCAGTACCATCACCACCACAAAAAACAACAATAAAAACAAAAACAACATTAATAATGTAATAATAATACGAATTATAATAAAATAGCAATTCTATCACTTTAGAAATAGCACTAATAATTTAAAAAAATGAAAATATTATAACACGTTTTTTTTTAATTAATAAGTTAAATGAAAAACATTTCCATAGAAAAATATTCTAATTGTTAATTCAATCAAAATCTTAAGACATTTTTGAGTCAGTTGATTTTATATAGGTGTATGAAATATTTAAATCAAATTAATGTTTCGGTGATTTTCAAAAAGATTTGATCAAAGAACATGTTATTCACAAGATAGGAATATAAAATAAAGCGAAAAAAAGACGTAATACAATATACCTTTCAAAAATACTTTAAAATTTTGATCGAGAAAACTAAATTAAGCGAAATGAAATAATAAAAAGAGTGGCACAATCATAAGTAGATGATACGTACATTCAACAAATGTATCAGATAATTTTTATTCTCCATCTTAAAATGTATGAACATTTACTACTTTTTGGCCAAGTTTTGTTTTATTGCTATGCAAAATTATGTTTTTTTATCACCTGTTGTCATTTTAAGAAAAGTGTGTCAAAATACATGCAATTGTAAACAGAAAGAATATATTTTTGCGCGAAAAGTATATACATGTATTATTACACGGAAAGTGCGTCATTAACAACAAATTGTAATTTAAACTATGAAAAGTCAATTAACAAGAATTCTGACTACTCCTGAAAAATATTTTCATTTTCGAGTTTCGCGCAGGAGTATTTTCGAGTATCTTGCAATGTGAACTATGAAGTAATTATAATGATACAAGTAAAAATATAAAAGTATGTCAGAAAGTTTTACCAAAACATATAAAAGATGTATAATATTTGTGTTATAAACCAATTATAAAACTAAACGAGTTGAAATATTTTTATAAAGAAATGTCAATAATTAAACATCATAGATTATTTTCAAGAACGTTTATTAATAATATTTTACTTGTATGTTACATTGATGATAATGTAATGTTTGTTATATATTACCTACACAATGATTGCAATAAAATAAGTAAAACAAAAGACTTAAACTTGTTTCGTTTTATAATTTTCGTATTTTAATTTTCAGACTTAATTCAACAAACGTAATAGTGTATCCAGAAGGATTTAACTAATTATCATGTACGATTTGACAAATAAAATATAGACATTCCGAAGACATATTGAGCGACTCAACCCAGAATACTGTAAGCGATCATATATTCTGTTTTTGGTGAATCTGACACTAAAATGTCTGTATTTCACACAAAACAACTGGTTTTCCCAATAATCTAAGAAACACAAAGGAACAGGCTTTTGAAAATTGTAAAATCAAATTTATTATGTAAAACTCGTTGACTGAAGTCAGACAAGGCCATCACCAGACCGTTATCAAAGTATTAAAATGCAAAATAATAGCATTAATGAACCATTCAATTAAATGAATAGTGGGCAACAATTATTATTGTCGCCACACAATATTTAAAGTCAAAGTATTAAAAACAGCATCTATATCGCAAAGGAAATAGATGAATGAAATATCACATTTAAGTAGCAAAATATTCCTACATATTGAACCATTTAAAGTAGAAAAGTTATTATTTTCCGATGTTATATACCCTTCACTCAAAATATAATATTGTACCAGTGCAGACAATCCGGGGCAGTTGCTCGTTTGCTTTTTTCTGGAACATGTGCCACACATTTAGATATTAATGTAGCGCAGCATGTATAGAAATGATGACGACCAAGGATAAGGAAATGATGTAAAACAGGTGTCGAAAGTATAATATATACACTTGCCAATAAAATTAGTGAATAGACACACCCGTCAGGGGCTTGACATTTTTACGACATCTGATCATGGACAACAATTGTTAATACGTGTTATGTTATGGCGCTGTAATACATTTATATTACGACAGAATGTCCGGTTTATTACATGAAATAATAATTGTCCGCTCTAATACACTGATCATGTGCATGACATATGCACATTTTAGCTTAAATGTGGCTTTACGCGGAGGTGCAAAGATTAAGAGAGAAACCAGGTTGAAAGGCACTTAATGTCAAGTATGCGGATATATTCTCTAGAATAATTATATCCTAACTATAATGCCAGTAAACTTATTTTATTTTCAGTTATGCAAATATTTAGAATGTATGGTGTGTAGTACGATAAATTTAAGCCAGTTGACCAAATCACCAACACGTCATTATTCTATGAGAATATTCTTACTTTTAAAACTGGGCTGTACGCAGCACTGTATCACATTGTGTTTCTTTTTGTTGAGGCTTACATTTAGTGTAACAACATGTCAGTCACTGTCTACAACAAATGGCCGTGACAACAAGCGTTTATGAATTCCGTATAAAGCTTTCGGTCGTGAGCTTTCGGCTGTTTGTTTACTGATCTGTTATCCCGTACACTTAGTAAATCTACCGGTTTTCTAATTCTCGGTAGTTGATTAACACGTTAATTTACAGAGTTTCTCGATTCTCTACAATACAAGACTCCACTCAGTATAGTCTAGAAAATAATTATTTTGAATTGCTTACTTTTATATCGGTCATATTCAAACGACTTAATTGCATCTATGTAGTAATATCTGATGACCTGAAAGTTGTTTTTGTTAACATTCGTCAGGACCTCATTTCTGTGCGGAAGGATTTAAGTTGTACTATACATTGTAGTCTGATTTTATTGACATACATTAAAGCAGTCATTTAGATATTCGATCCTACTTCGGTTTTGTCCATTTATTTTACGAGAATTAATATGGAGTATATAGCTAAACTTTTGGAAAACTCCCACTAGCTTAATGTAGGTTCTCGTAACATCCGCAATAGCAAATCGGTCAAGTGATTACATAATGTATGGGAGGTCCTAGGTTCGATCTTTTGACATTTTTATAGACGCCACTTATTTTTAAACTTATTTTTTCTTTGTTAAGTATATTATGATGAAAATGGCCAAGCGCTTTCAGAATTTTCTACACAGATATGAAACAACTAAGAAACACTGAATTGTAACAATTGTCACGTGTTGTATTGTATTTTACGGCACTGAAATGACATTTATTGATCTTTATCCGAATGAATTTGAAAATTAATTCTTTAACAATGTTCATAAATATATAAAAACTACAACTATCACTTAATGTGATTAATACCTCCACAACACTGCTTCGGAAATAAGGATGTTACTAGTAACAGAATACCTTGTAAAAGAATTGAAATATAGAGTAATGGTTGCGGGCAATAAAAGATAGTTGTGGTTCTTGTATGTTGCATTTCCTTTCACTAAGGAAGACACTGCTTTGAAAATTATAAAGAGAACAAAAGGTTCTGCCAATTGCCCTTAAAGATATATTGGGCCGGTAGTCCGCCTTTGGGTTTAAATTTGCAGTGTCTATAATAAATATAATTATGGGTGCAGTTTACCCACATTTAAATGTATTTGTGATACCGTGGACGGATTACAATGCAGTAATTTAACTTTACTTAATAATTAATATATCACCCTTTAAAAGGAAAAGGAAATGTATTCATAAGGGGTGTAGTATGTCCTTATATATTTCCATCAAATTGAACAAGGGTGCAGTTTACCCAGATATAATTTGATTATGGGTGCAGTTTACCCAGATATAATTTGATTATGGGTGCAGTTTACCCAGATATAATTTGATTATGTGTGCAGTTTACCCACATATATTTTTATCATGGGTGCAGTATACTCAGATATATTTCTATTATGGGTTTAGTATACCCAGATGTATTTCTATCAGATTGAACATGGTTGCAGTTTACCCAGACTTATTTCAATTATGGGTGCAGTGTAACACCGCACTTTGGGGTCAAACGCACTTTGGGGTCGAACCCCAAAGTGCGTTACGCACTTTGGGGTCGGACCCCATAGTGCGTTACGCACTTTGGGGTCCAATTTCGACCCCAAAGTGCGTTAAACAGGTACATATGCATTTTTCAACATCAGGCAAACGACCGCACTTTGGGGTCAGAGAAAATTTATGTTCATTATGTTTTAAATAATATAGTGTAGTCAAAGCCAATGGTAAACAAAAATCAAGGTATTAAATAGACACAAAACATATGCCCTGATCAATAGGGATTTAAATGGTCTTGATTAGTAAGTGAAGAACTTTCACAAAATAAATCACCAAAAAAAGAATTTGTATCAATTTGTGCTGCACGCCTCCAGATTCACGCTAATTTTCATGAAAATTTAGAAAATTTATTTGAATGTATAATATTGTGGAATAACCAAAAGGAAGCAATTTGCACATTAT